TTAAATCTGGAAAAGTGGTCTCTTTCACTCCCTCCAGAATGAAATCAGCCAATACATCTCTCAGAGAAACTAGTAAAACTCTCCTAATAGCCTGAAGAGAAGCTTTCGAGCCACACACAGCTTCTTTCCCTCACCAACAGAGGTTGGTCCAATAAAAATGTTACCTCACCCATCTTGTCTCTCTGATATCCTAAGACTAACATGGCTACAACTACTATGCATACGCACAGTATGACAGTCATTTTTCAATCTACTAGATAGTCTTTATTTATAGAGTTTATAAGGAAACAATGAGTAACATATATACAACTGGAAAACAGAGAAATAAAATAGAGCAAGCAATTAAACAAAACATCATACTTTAGAGACCTGCTTAAAGTTCTTTTTGGTTAGCAGAAACCTTGATTGCAAGGAAGACACAATCTAAGGAATTATTACCTTGCAGCTTCATGTCCAGCAGCTCTCCTTATCACAGTCACAGAGTGACTGTGCTCTTACACAATATCCCCACTCCAGTACTTTCTGGAAATGAAGGATTCTCTTTGATTTTAACCTTTCATGGCATACTGAAGTTTACTGTACAAATAGATACGTTTTCTTTCAGTGACTGTAACTTCCACACTTTATAATTGGTCTCAGGGAACTGGAATATGCAAAAGGCAATTGCATCACTGACAAAATACATTATATTCAAAGCCTTATTTGCTTCTGTCTTATCCCTCCCCTTGCTTCATCCAATTTGGATGTTTGTGTATTAACCACAAAATATATTCTATTTTTATGGTTGAGTATTTAATAATAGGTCAAAGCTTCTGGGCTTTCACACTTGAATGGGTTACACCCTTGGGAACCTGCTTACAGAGAAAGCTAGACTAATTAAAATAACTCAAATGTCTAACTCAAACAAGGGTCTAAAATAAGAATTAATGTCATAGTCCATCACAACACCAAAAAGAAAAGGAGTACTTGTGGCACCTTAGAGACTAACCAATTTATTTGAGCATGAGCTTTCGTGAGCTACAGCTCACTTCATCTGCTCACTTCATCACAACACCCTATTTAAACACTGTAATGTATCCAATTGTAATGGGTATGTTAAAAAAGACAACATGTCAGTATCAAATCTTCCTGTCATTGTGATATATGTATTTGTGACTGTGTCAGCTGGGAGAACAATCTAGCAGTCTGATGTATATTTAGTGTTTAAAGAAAGCCATTGTGCTTTTGTAACTGCAAAAGTGAGGTTTTCTTTAACTCTATAGTGCTTTTAAAGAAAAGAGCAATTCTGGTCATTCCATAATATGTCAATTTAATAGATTCATACATTGTAAGGCCAGAAGGGCCCACTGGGATCATCTTATTTGCTCTCCAGCATGACACAGAGCATAGCATTTCACTAAATTGTTCCTGCATCAAACCCATGACTCAAGGCTGAGCTACAGTGTGTTTCTGAGGGGGAAAAGTCCAATCTTGATTTAAAGAGTTCAAGTTATGGAGAAACTACTATGTCCCTAGATAAATTGTTCCAGTGGTTAATTACCTTCACTGTAAAAACAAAAAGGAAAAAAAAAGGTACCATACTTCTAGTCTGAATTTGTCTAGCTTCAGCTTCCAATTATTGGATTTTGTTATGCCTTTGTTTGCTAGATTAAGAAGACTTCTACTATCAGAATTTTTTTCCCCACATAGGTACATCTAGGCTGTGATCAAGTGACTTTTGGGGTGATCAGGGATGGCCAAACCTATTGACCCTCCAAGCCACATATGATAATCTTCAGAAGTTCAAGAGCTGGGTGCACCTATTGGGGTTTGGGGCTTCTACCCGGTGGTGGGGGTAGGGGCTTTTGTCCTGAGGGGAGGTCTTGGGGCTTCAGCCCTATGGGAGGTGCCTGCCGGGGCTCAGGGCTTCAGCTGAAACCCCAAGACCCCTCTGCTGACAGGGCAGAAGCCCCTAGTCCCACCATCCCTTCAGGGGCAGAAGCCCCAAGCTCCCTACCCTCCAAGTGTGGTAGGTGGAGAATGGTGGGATATGAGGGGCTCCCTAAGCTGCACTTTAAGTGTGAAAGAGCCACATGAGGCTCGTGAGCCATGGTTTGGCCACCCCTGTAATAGACTGAACTTCTCTAGTCTGTCACTATAAGACAGGTTTTCCAGACCTGGAATCATTCTTGCAGCTCTTTTCAGTAACCTTTCAAAATTGTCAGCATCCTTTTTGAAACCTGAACTGGGCGCAGTATTTTAGTAATGGCCTCATTAATGCCATATATAGTGGTAATGACATGGCCCTATTTCTTCTGAGTATTCCCCTATTTATACATCCAAAGATTACATTTCTCCTCCTAGCCACCACATCACACTGGCAGCTCATGGTATGTTTGTTATCAACCATGACCCCTAAGTCCCTTTCCGAATCACTGCTTTCCAAAATACAATTCCTCCACCCTATGTGTGACCTGAATTCTTGGTTCCAAGATGTATCATTTTGTATTTAGATGTATTAAAATGCACACTGGCAAAATGACGCCAGCTTACCGTATGATCCAGAGCACCCTGTGGAATTGACTTTTCCTTATCATTTACACAGCCTTGTTCACTGCCAACAATGGGTAAGTGTCATAAATATAAAGGGAAGGGTAAACACCTTTAAAATACCTCCTGGCCAGAGGAAAAATCCTTTCACCTGTAAAGGGTTAAGAAGCTAGGATAACCTCGCTGGCACCTGACCAAAATGACCAATGAGGAGACAAGATACTTTCAAAAGCTAAGAGAAGGGAGAAAAACAAAGGGTCTGTGTCTGTCTGTGTGATGCTTTTGCCAGGGACAGAACAGAAATGGAGTCTTAGAACTTAGTAAGTAATCTAGCTAGATATGTGTTAGATTATGATTTCTTTAAATGGCTGAGAAAATAAGCTGTGCTGAATAGAATGGATATTCCTGTCTGTTGTCTTTTTGTAACTTAAGGTTTTGCCTAGAGGGATTCTCTATGTTTTGAATCTGATTACCCTGTAAGGTATTTACCATCCTGATTTTACAGAGGTGATTCTTTTTTACTTTTTACTTCTATTAAAATCCTTCTTTTCAGAAACTGAATGCTTTTTCATTGTTCTTAAGATCCAAGGGTTTGGGTCTGTGGTCACCAATGCAAACTGGTGAGGATTTTTACCAAACCTTCCCCAGGAAATGGGGTGCAAGGGTTGGGAGGATTTTTTTGGGGGAAGACATTTCCAAACAACGCTTTCCTAATAAAAAATAAACCCAGATAAAAGCTTGGTGGTGGCAGTGGAAGTCCAAGGGCAAAGGGTAAAATAGTTTGTACCTTGGGGAAGTTTTAACTGAAGCTGGTAAAAGTAAGCTTAGGAGGTTTTCATGCAGGTCCCCACATCTGTACCCTAGAGTTCAGAGTGGGGAAGGAACCTTGACAGTAAGTGAAACTGCATTTCTCAAGCTTGTGTGCGTCACAGCAAAATGTATGTTTGCAATGTTGTTGTAGCTCTGTTGGGCTCCATAGCTGACTTTTCTATCCTCATCCTCAGAAGGATACCTGCATAACACCTGTAGTGTGGCAAGGACTACTATGGGGGTGTAATTTCTAAAATGCTCTAACATGTTTGTGCTTTAATTGGTCTGTGCAGACCTGTACTTTACATGATTCTGCACTTTTCTGACAGTTTTAAGCAGTGACCCACCAACAGGGATTTTGGGCCACTGGATTCTTGTAAGTGCAGACTCAGTAGCCCATTCCACCATCATTCTATTTTCACTAGCCTAATTGAGAATCCTGTGTATGAAATCTCTGACAAGAGTTTTATTAAATGACCATTAGCTTTGAGACTGAACAGTAGAACTCCATTATCTCTCTTATTGTTTGCTGTTGCAATTGAACCACTAGTCATACCCATTCATGCACAAAATGAGATAAAATGAATATCAACAGAGGACTTAATACATAAAATACTATTTTATAGAGAGGGTGTATTGCTATTATTAACAAACCTAGAAGAATGTATATCCCCTTTAAAGCAGGTAATGTTTTAATATGGAGCAGTCTTGGGATCCAAAAACTAGGCTGAATCCTGCAAAATTTATTAATGAGAGTATTCCTATCGAAATAAATTATTTATACATTTGTGGAAAGTATCAACAGTAAAAAGAATAAGGTATTGATATAACTTTATATGGAACTGTATTACTTTCTTAAGCTCATGTTTCTTAAGCTGCAGCTACACTAGCAAAAGAGATAAGACCCAACCTGATCCCTATAGTACCCTATGAGGCCTCACCACTGTCAATTCACTTACTATTTTCATTACCATTTGTTTCTGCTCTTTCAGATGGCTTTCATGTTCATATGATAATGACCCTTCTGCCGCGAGGGCTTGAAGGCAGAAAACTCACTGAAGATCCCTTTGCTGAGATTTCCTAATATCTCTCAATTCAGGGACATGGACAAACTTATTTTGTTTGGGACAGGGAGAGGGGACTAGTGTTAAAACTAATAAAATAATAGTTTTTGAATATTGCTTTAATTAATAGTTTTGTACGAGGAGTAAATTTATTCTTTTTTAATTAAGTTAGTTAAACAAGCATGCCTGCATGATGGACACTCAGTGTTTCCTTTATTTATTAATGTAATCCTTCAATTTTTTAGACAAGGATAAAGACCTGCCCCTGCCCTGCCCCAACCTCTTAGTTGTCTATGCCCATGAACTTCCATCATGGTATACAGAGAAAAACTACTCAGCTGTCCTACTCCCAAAATTTGCAGATCCCAGGATATTACTGAAATATCAATTCTCCTTCAAGTGGAGTCCTTGACAGTGAAGTTTCATTGGACCCCTTCTTATTCCCCTTAATCCTGTTGGCCAATATTAACTAACTATACTTTTTACTGACTTAATATATTATCTCAAAGTCTTAATGGACTCATAATAAATAATAATGATAATTAATAAATGATGATTAATAAATAAATATTACTTACATAGCATCACAAATTTATACTGACCTTGCCAAACACAGAGAAATATGTGTTCCTTGTGTCAGTGTTTACAATCTAAGATTTGCATGCTTTCTTTCTTTCTAAACTCAGATTGTTGAGCAGTCCTGTATACAGTCACACTGTTTCTTGTTGGTCACTTTCTGTTCTTTACATTTTTATTTTTCAGAGGAACTGTAGGATGTTGTGACTTAATTATGATATCTTTTAATATTGTTCCCATTGCACCTTATTCTGTAAAGGCCTTATCTCTTAGCCCTGGTCTACACTACGAGGTTAGGTCAAATTTAGCTGCATTAGGTCGATTTTATAAGCCTTGCAGGTACACAACCAACCCCGTTCCATCAACCTAAAGGGCTCTTAACATTGACTAATGTACTCCTCCCTGATGATGGGTGTAGCACTAAAATCGACCTTCTTGGGTCAAATTTGGGGTAGTGCAGACACAGCATTGTGCAATTTGATGGTATTGGCCTCCGGGGACTATCCCAGGTGCTCCAATGTGACTGCTCTAGACAGCATTTTCAACTCTGATGCACTAGCCAGGTGCACAGGAAAATCCCCGGGAACTTTTGAATTTCATTTCCTGTTTGGTCAGCGTGGCGAGCTCAGCAGCACAGATGACCATGTAGTCACAGAATCTCAAACGAGCTCCAGCATGGAGTGAACAGGAGACACTGGATCTGATTGCTCTACGGGGAGAAGAATCTGTGCAGGCAGAACTCTGATCAAAAAGAAGAAATGTTAATATATATGCCAAAATCGCACAGGGCATGGTGGAGAGAGGCTACAACAGGGACACACAGCAGTGCCGCATGAAAGTTAAGGAGCTCAGGCAAGCCTACCAAAAGACAAAGGAGGCAAATGGTCACTCCAGGTCAGAGCCCCAGACATGCTGCTTCTATGACCAGCTGCATGCCATTCTGGGGGGGGGGAGACCCTACCAGTACCCCACCACTGTCTGTGGACACCTGCAAGGGGGGGGAGTCTCACGCAACACGGAGGAGGATTTTGTGGATGAGGAAGTGGAGGAGGAGGAGAATGTGCAGCAGGCAAGCAGTGAATCCATTCTCCCTGGCAGCCAGGACCTTTTCATCACCCTTGAGCCAATACCCTCCCAAGGTGAGATGCCCAACCCTGAAGCTGGAGAAGGCACCTCTGGTGAGTGCACATTTGTAACTACACTATAGGGGTTAAAAGCAATTGTGTTCAATGTTTGATTTGCCCTGAAGAATTGGGATGCATTCGCGGCCAGTACAGCTACTGGAAAAGTCTGTTAACGCATCTGGGGATGGAGCAGGAATCCTCCAGGGAATCTCCATGAAGCTCTCCTGGAGGTACTCTGAAAGCCTTTGCAGAAAGGTTCTGGGGAGGGCTGCCTTATTTCGTACTCCATGGTAGGACATTTTACCATGCCAAGCCAGTAGCAAGTGATCTGGAATCATTGCAACACAAAGCATGGCAGTGAATGGTCCTGGGTTTTGGTCGCATTCATGCAACATTCAGTCTTTATCTTTCTGTGTCAGCCTCAGGAGAGTGATATCATTCATGGTCACCTGGTTGAAATAGGGGAATTTTTGTAAGGGAACAGTAAAAGGACCCTGTTCATGCTGGGCTGTTTGCGCTTGGCTAAAAGTGATAATCCCAAAGAATAGCCACGCGGTGGGGGGAGGGGTATGCTGAACATCCAACCCAAAACCACAGGCCCTCCTTTTAAACGGTAAACCCAACCGGCATTGCTTGCTAGGGGAAAGGAGGTTGCAGCAGTTTGAAACCATTCCCACATGTTATGAAGGTGGAAGAAGCCAACCCCACATCGTACCCTTTGGCTTACCATGGCTGCCTGGAAACTGAATTCTGTTGCCCAGCCGTCTGTGATGTGTCACCATACCAGCAGGTGCTCAATATAAAAGGCAAAATGTGACCTTGTACCTAAAGCACATGTGCTGTCTACTGTGAATTGTTTGATTCACTGTGAAAGAGTCTCCCTTTTGTTCTCAGAAATGTATCTTCTTAAATTTTACTCTCCCTTTTTATCCCTCCTGCAGATGTAAATATTTCTATGCTCCTTGTGTCAACTCCATCCCTAAGGTTATCGCAGATTAGAAGGCGAAAAAACCGCACTCACAATGACATGTTTTCTGAGCTCATGCCGTCTTCCTGCACTGATAGGGCACAGCCGAATGCATGGAGGCATTTGGTGGCAGAGGCCAGGAAAACCTTCAGTGAGCATGATCAGAACATGCAGGAGGAGATGCTGAGGCTAATGGGGGAGCAAATGGACATGATCAGGCGTCTGGTGGAACTGCAGGAAAGGTAACAAGAGCACAGACTGCCACTGCATCCATTGTATAACTGCCTGCCCTCCTCCCCAAGTTCCATATCCTCCTCACCCAGATGCCCAAGAATGCAGGGAAGAGGCTCTGGGCACCCAGCCACTCCACTCCAGAGGATGGCCCAAGCAACAGAAGGCTGTCATTCAAACAGCTTTGATTTGTAGTGTGGCTACAATAAGCAATGTGGCCTTGTCCTTCCCTCCTCCCCCACCTGACCTGGGCTAACTTGTCAGTGATCTCCCTTTTTTTTAATAAATAAAGAATGCATGGATTCAAAACAATAGGGACTTTATTTCCTTTGCCAGCTGTGGTCGAAGGCAGGAGGGGTATTGGCTTACAGGGAAGTATATTCAACAAAGGGAGTGGTTTTGCATTAAGGAGAAACACACACTACTGTCACACCATAGCCTGGCCAGTCATGAAACTGTTTTTCAAAGCCTCTCTGATGCGCAGCATGCCTAGCTGTGCTATTCTAATCTCCCTGGTGTTTGGCTGTTCAAAACTGGCCACCAGGCGATTTGCCTCAACCTCCCACCCCACCATAAACGTCTCTCCCTTATTCTCACAGATATTATGGAGCACACAGCAAGTAGCAATAACAATGGGAATATTGGTTGCGCTCAGGTCTAACCTAGTCAGCAAACAGTGCCAGCGAGCTTTTAAACATCCAAAGGCACAATCTACCACCATTCTGCGCTTGCTCAGCCTATATTTGAACTGCTCCTTACTCCTGTCCAGGCTGCCTGTGGTATGGCTTCATGAGCCGTGGGAGCAAGGGGTAGGCTGGGTCCCCAAGAATAACTATTGGCATTTCAAGATCCCTAATGGTAATTTTCTGGTCTGGGAAGTAAGTCCCTTCTTGCAACTGTTCGAACAGCCTGGAGTTCCTAAAGATGCGAGCATCATGCACCTTTCCCTGCCATCCCACGCTGATGTTCGTGAAATGTCCCTTGTGATCCACCAGTGCTTGCAGCACCCTTGAGTACCCCTTGCGGTTTAAGCACTGGTTGGCAAAGTGGTCCAGTGCCAAGATAGGGATATGCATTCTGTCTATCACCCCACCACAGTTAGGGGACCCCATTGCAGCAAAGCCATCCACTATGACCTGCACATTTCCCAGAGTCACTACCCTTGTTAGCAGAAGGTCACTGATTGCCATGGCTACTTGGATCACAGCAGCCCCCACAATAGATTTGCCCACTCCGATTTGATTCCTGACTGATCAGTAGCAGTCGGGCGTTGCAAGCTTCCACAGGGCTATCGACACTCCCTTGCCAACTGTCAGGGCAGGTCTCATCTTGGTATTCCTGTGCTTCAGGGCAGGGGAAAGCAACTCACAAAGTTCCATGAAAGTGGCCTTATGCATGCAAAAGTTTTGCAGCCACTGGAAATCACCCCAGACCTGCAACACTATGCAGTCGCACCAGTCTGTGCTTGTTTGCTGGGCCCAGAATTGGCGTTCCACTGTGTCAACCTGCCCCACAACTGCCATGATGTTCTAATTGCCGCATCCTGTGCTTTCAGGAACGTCTGTGTCCATGTCCTCCTCACAATCGTCCTCGTGCTGGCATCTTCTAGCCAGGTTCTGCACATACTGCAGGATAATGTGCACGGTGTTTACAATGCTCACAACTGTAGCGCTGAGCTGAGCAGGCTCCATGCTTGCCATGCTATGGCATCTGCATGGGTAACCCAGGAAAAAAGGTGCGAAACAATTGTTTGCCATTGCTTTCAAGGAAGGAGGGAAGAAGGGTGGGGAGACTGATGACATGTACCCAAAACCACCCACGACAATGTTTTTGCCCCATTAGGCATTGGGAGATTAACCCAGAATTCCAATGGGCAGCAGAGACTATGGGATAGCTACCCACAGTGCATCACTCCGTGAGTCGATGTTAGCCACGGTATTGAGGACTCATTCCACCGACCTACTGAGTTTAGTAGGGACATACACAATCTACTATATAAAATCGCTTTCTAAAGATCGACTTCTATAAAATCGACCTAATTTTATAGTGTAGATGTGTCAATGGGAATCTTCTATTGACTTCAGTGGGCTTTGGATAAGGTCCTATGGCCCTGACTCAGCAAGATATTTAAGTATGTCCTTAAGCACCATTGACTTCAATAGGATTTAAGCACATAAAGTTAAACACATGCCTAAGTACCACCCTGAATAAGGACTATTTCCTGAATCAGGCCCTTTAATGGTTTCTCCTTTTGTGCTTAATCTGTGTTTTCTTGGTTTCCCTTACTGATTTCAACTGTTCCCTGAATCTTTGTATTTTTTCCTCTGGAAAGAAAATCAGCCTGCACTTGGTACAATGTAGCCCTCCTGTTTTTTTAATTAAGTCAAATGAACATTTCACAGGAGATTACCTTAATTCTTCTGGTATCCATTCTATAGTCAAGTTATATTATTTAGTCAAAAGAATCTCTTCACTTCACTGTCAACCTCCAGACACTTCTGCCTCTTCCTCTTTGAAATCCCTTAAGAAGTGGCCTCAGAATTAGTCCAGAATGTTATTTTTGTTATTCCATAATGGGGAACTACAGCTATCTCCTCTTGAATTCTGCCTTGCTTATCTAGCTACCCTCACTTTTATCAAGCATCTTATTTCCTGGGAAAGATTATTCTGAATTGCTTTTTTAAATCTGGAAAAAAAAAAAACCCACACAGGTTTTCCATTTCCTCTCATTGCAAGTGCACAGACTGTAGAACTAATCAATTCCAGAGAATAGTTTTTTTTTTAAAAAAATCAAAAATGTATTCTCATCTAGTTCCCCAACATTAAAATGTATAACTAAAAAGCAAAATCCTCCTTTTTTCTGTAAGCAAGTTCAGTATGTTTCACCCTGTTCAGTTGTGATTTGTTTACTTTTAATACAATTTTTGCTATATCAATCTGGTATTTTGGAACATAATTATTTGGCCTATATTGTTTCCAACGTGATTTTCTTCTCAGTGACTCAGCCAAATATAGATAAATAAAGTGTTGTTTGATATTAGTTTGTTTAGGAGTGAATTATGATTCAGTGGACAACAAATAAGGCCTAGATCCTCAGGTGCACTGAAGCAGTACTTGATACCACTGGTGAGGAGAGAACATAGGTGAATTTCCATCACCTTTTATTCATCCTGAGCCTGAAAGCAGCCTTAGGGATATTCTAGCTTGGTGCTATTATGCCACCTTGGATCTCCAGAGCTCAGCATGCTCCAGCCATGCCCTCTCTCTCCCCAGCACAGCAGCAGCAAACCTTTCATCCTGCCGAGGCCCAGATATAAGATGCAACATGTTAGAAAGGCCAGAACGGAAGGACACAAAAGAATGATTCATGCAGGATACTTAAATGTTGTGGGATTTATTCCTTTAGTGTCCTCTTTCTACAACCTCAGCTTCATGGTTCTTTATTTTTCATGGAAATAATTTTCAACCACAAAAGTGAAGGGACCGAAAATATGTGTGGAATGTAGTTAACTCTAGACTAACATGAGTGACAACCATTGAAATGAGGGACATGGGGCTGGGAGAGGAGCAGCCACTTGGCAAGACAAATTTATTTTTCTCCTCTTAAGACAATGAAAAAGGGGCTTAGCAGGGGCAAGGATCTAGCCCTCAGAGTAGAAGTGTCATAAAGGCATATTTATCTGATGGCTGGGTTATATATATTGTGTATCAATTATTTGTAATTAGATTTTCATTAGAGTGTCTTTCTGTATGAGAAAGCAAGATCATAGCTGACTTTTTGTATTTTATAGCAGTTTTATTTAGAGTATTATAATTGATATGTTGTTTGTCCCATAAGAATTATATTGTTTGCCTCTAGAAGTGGTAGGGTTGCCTTCAGATCATGGAACTGAAAATGTTTAAGTTCCAAGTGTGAGATAAGTATTTCCAGTTCAATGGTCTTTGCTAATCTCTGTCTTTTTCTTTTTGCAGACTAAAGAATCAACTGGCTTCTGAAAACAAATTTCACAACATCCCTTGATGTATTTTTATTTATATTTCTTGAATTATTTAATTTCATGTAATTATTAAGAGCTGCCCATTTGACTTACTTTATGATTAGTCCCACTGAAATTGATGGGATGATTCAGGGAACCAGGTACTACTCTACAAGAACCAAAGTGGCAGTCTCTGCCCCTAAATAATTGATGAATAAATTCTGATTTCTATAAAAGGCATCATTGCTTCTCCTTGACCTGGACAGAAACTTATCAGGGAGAAGATTTTAAAGGATCACAGGTCCTGGAGCATGAACAGATATTCTGAAGTTACATTAACGAGGCTGAAAAATGCATGTTACTCTTTGTACATAGGAATGCTTAATTGAACCTTTCCTGTAAAACTTCTTTGGTAACCAAAACCAATATGGCCAGCCCTATTTTGCCTTCTTACATCCACCTGTTATTTGCTTTTTCTGTTACAACTCTCTCTTCTGGCTCCTTGTCAGGTACTTGTCTGAATTAGGCCATTTAATTAATCAGAGTCAATGGCTTTAATTAAAATAATGTGATCAATCATTTTTACTACAGTTTGTATTGAATACAATGATCAAGAGCTGATTGTAACTGGTTTCCAAATTGATAGCTCTGAGGTCAGATTGCCTGGTGCATTGTGGCTGCTTTTCACTGCACTGCTGGTGCGATTTGGCTCTAAAGCTAGTGTATCAGCCCCACTAAGATCCTCTGTTGCAGCCACTGTTATCTTAGAATAAGCATGATCCCTTATGCCACTCCCACTCCTATCTGCTATCAAAGCCGGGGAAAAGGACATGACTGGTAGAAATAGGGTGTGGTGGAAACACCTCTATGTTGCTCTAATCTCTAGCTGCAGTTTTGGCTCCTTGGCAGCTACTCTATATTTACATTTGGCACATGTGGATTCGCTCTCTACAGAGTGACAGTAGGATTAGTGTATAGCACACACACTGGTACAGGACAGCTGTAGAATAGAATCTGACCCCTGGCGTTCAAATTCAATCAACTGACCTTATTTTATATGTTATATATTTGAAGTCAGGGGGAGTTTTGAGTTTGCAAAGAACGAAGGTTCAGCCCCCTCAGTGAGTGCTCTGAACAGCATATTTGTATATGTTGCTGGAATCATATCATCCCCCAAAGGCTTTTAGGAGACAAATTGAAGAGTCCGATTCTCCACTGCCTGACAAATTGTGCGTCCATTTTCACCTATGAAAAGTGGGTATGAAATGCCACCATTTTGATGCGGTAG